TTTCTCGTCCTGGTGTGAGTCGTTCGGGCCCTTCTTCCTGGTGTGAGTCGTTCGGGCTCTTCGTGGTGTGAGTCGTTCGGGCTCTTCGTCCTGGTGTGAGTCGTTCGGGCTTCTCGTGGTGTGAGTTGTTCGGGCCCCTCATCCTGGTGTGAGTCGTTCGGGCCCCTCCTCCTGGTGTGACTCGTTCGGGCTCCTCGTGGTGTGAGTCGTTCGGGGCCCGCGTCGTGGTGTGAGTCGTTCGGGCTCCTCGTGGTGTGAGTCGTTCGGGCGCCTCGTCCTGGTGTGAGTCGTTCGGGCCCCTCCTTGTGGTGTGAGTCGTTCGGGCTCTTCGTGGTGTGAGTCGTTCGGGCCCCTCGTCCTGGTGTGAGTCGTTCGGGCTCCTCGTGGGGCCTCTTGGGGGCCTCTTGGAGCCTCGTGGGGCCTCTTGGGGGCCTCTTGGGGGCCTCTTGGGGGCCTCTTGGGGGCCTCTTGGGGCCTCGTGGGGCCTCTTGGGGGCCTCTTGGGGGCCTCTTGGGGGTGGGGCCTCTTGGGGGCCTCTTGGGGGCCTCTTGGGGGCCTCTTGGGGCCGCTTGGGGGCCTCTGGGGGGCCTCTTGGAGGCCTCTTGGGGGCCTCCTGGGGGCCTCTTGGGGCCATCTTGGGGCCCCTTGCGACCCCCTCAGACGCGCAAGTGAGAACTGCCCCCCTGAGAAGGACAAAATGAACCCAACACCTTCGAAACATCAATGATTTTGCTATGAGGGAAGATGAGCGCGGCTCCCTCAGCAGGCCAAAATGGGGCCAAAACCATAGTAAAATCAATGATTTCTGCTTCAAAGACGAGCAGAGGGGCCAAACTCCCCCCCCCCTCGGGGCCAGAATCCTCGTGAAGGTAGTCGTTTTTGGGCCCTCCCAGGAGTCGAAATGTACCCCCCTTGACACCACTCGGGGCTCCCTCTCCAGGCCCAGGGGGGAGGGGGGAGGGGGAGGGGTAAACCCCTCCCCGAAGGGGAAGATGGGGGGGTGAGAACAGAGAGAGCTCCCTAAACCACTCACGCCCAAAGGGCTGGTGGGATTACTGCTGCTACAACTACAACAGCAATTACTACGACTACTACGACTACGACTACTACGACTACTACTACTACTACTACTACTACTACTACTACTACTACTACTACTACTACTACTACTACTACTACTACTACTACTACTACTACTACTACTACTACTACTACTACTACTACTACTACTACTACTACTACTACTACTACTACTACTACTACTACTACTACTACTACTCCCTTGTTTACTAGGGCAACTACTACGTCTACTACCACCACGGCTCGGGTGAAGTTCACCCAGACGATATACGACCATTGGCCGAATGGATGAGAAGGGTTCGATAATCGATGCCCGAATGCTGACACGTTCGGAAAGTCTTTACCCTCGGCCTCAGGCTTCCGGAGATCTCCACAGGGACCTCTGGGGGGCGGTATCATAGCTATCCGTGCTTCAAAAAGACACGCCGTGCAAATCTGGAGCAATGAATCTGCCAGAGAGCATCAAGATGCAACAATTTGCCACCTCGCGGTCCGATCCGTATTCGAAGCCCGCTGGTCGATCTAGGGCTGCAGGGGACGTCTAAAGAAGTACTCATCACCTCCTCGTCCAGCTCCTTCTCCCCTGGAAGAGGAGGAGCTATGGGCCCGGCCTGTCCTGAAAGGTCCGCGTGTCCGCCCGTCCGTTCTGACTGACTTGCGCGCACCCCGCCCGCCTCAGTGCCCGCCCTCCCGCCCACCAGGGCAAGCTCGTTGATGACAGCCACGAGGAGGAGGAGGAGGAGGAGGAGGAGGAGGAGGAGGAGGAGGAGGAGGAGAGGAGGAGGAGGAGGAGGAGGAGGAGGAGGAGGAGGAGGAGGGGGAGGGGAGGAGGAGGAGGTGGAGCCGCCCCCCGCTCGGAGCACCTTCGGGGCCTCCGCCGTCGTGGCCCCAGGGGTCCGCAGAAAGCATGCGACCAGGTCTCCTCTGCGATATCATCAGGCTCAGATCGTGGAGTGCTGCTGTCTTAACTTGCGAAAGAGAGAGAGAGAGAGAGAGAGAGAGAACACAACAGAGAAAGAGAGAGAGAGAGGGACAGCGAGAGGGGGAGAGAGGGATACATATACATACGGAAATTGACAGATGAAGGAGCGTGATGAAACTGTGAAGTGGGAGGACGAGGGCAGATGGTAGGGGGAGGGAAACGGAGGATTATGTTGCGGATGGTGATGGTGGCCTTGGTGCCGATGACGTGGGGGAAGAGGACGGTGACGAGGGGGCAACCACCCCAGCCAGAACGCGCACGATATGATGTTCCTGTTCTACCGCGACGGATAATGCCCCCAGGCACCACAACGCAATATTCCCCCGGCGGAAAGCATTACACGTATGATGGAGCGGGAAGCAACCTAAAATTGAGGTCCAACCCAAAATTTCGGATGTTATGGGGACTTTGCGCTCCCTCTTCCACCCTCGATGCCCTATGGACTCAGGATGGCCAGATGTTCGTTCACTTCGGCCACCTCCACCAATATCGTCGAAGCCTGTGGCAACCCTCCGATCGCGCCCAGCAAGCCCAGTGGCCTCTCTGGACGAACACACGCTCGCCTTGACAGGCCGCCTGGCCGCGGCGTGTCGCCGCCCAGAGGCTTTGGCCAGGTGGCAGCAGCTGACGTCCAGGCTGGACGCGCTGAGGCGGCCGAGGGCGGCGGGGCTCCAGCGCGGGCTGCCCTCGAGGCGGTGGTCCTGGAGTGTCGGAGGCGACGGCAAGGGCGAGTAGCCCAGGGGCGGGCATTACACGCATTCGCCTGGGAGCCTCGCCGAAGGCATGGACCATCTGCGCCCCTAGATGCATCGCATTCCTCTCTCCCGAGCTATTCGCTCCAATCGTCGCCCCCGAGCGTGGACCAGCCTCCCATTCTCGAGGAGTGGGGGAATAACAAGCAGACGTGCAGCAAGTGGCCGCGGGAGAGCCTGCCGCAGCCTGGACTGCGTCGGCCTAAGGAGTGCCCTGAGGGGAGGGGACCCCGGCGGAAGACGGGAGGGGGCGCCGCAACGACGGGGAGGAGAGTGGCTTTCTTCGCCGTTCAATGCGTCTTTGAGCGCGATGTCGTGGACTACGGGCATCCGCTGGTAGAGATCTACTTGCCCCACAAGACGGAGGTGGCTGGACAAACCTGGCGGTCCCTCGCGGACCTTTTCCTGCCCCAAGAACGACCGAGTTTGAGCTGCGACGGTGCAAGAGCTGCCGTAAAAGTGCGAGCTGCCTGGCGCGAACCACACCCGCCTCTGGATACACCAGCTCGCGGGGTGGGCAGACGACAGGGCGAGCTACTGAGGAACTCGGCGGAGGGTCCTGTCGGAGGAGTCGTGCGCGACGGGCGGCAGCAGGCTGCTCGCGCTGGCGGCATTGGAGCCGCGAGCCCTGCCCGCCCAGCCAGCCGTTCCTGACCTGCACAGGCGCGAGCTGCTGACCGAGTCGGAGCTCCACCACCGTGTGCCCGGGCCACGGAGGGAGGCACTCCCGATGCCCAGAGCAGCGCTGGCTGCAGCGCCCGAGTGCACAGCATGGCCGCGCGCCTCCAGTGGCGCGAGGCGGTTACCTCGAAGACCCAGCGGCAGGAGAAAGAGGAGGCCGCGCGGCTGCGCGGAGAGAGGCCGGTGACCGCGAGTGCATCCTCAATCGCGATGGGCGGAGGTGGCTTGGGAGGATCGGCGCCCGCGGACGTCCGCGGCGGTAAGGATCGAAGAGGCAGAGTTGGATCTCGGAGGAGGCTGCTGAGGCCTCGCAGAGGAGGGCGGATGACGAGGAGTCGCAGTAGGACGACCAAGAGGAAGGTGCAGAGGCCAGCGGTTCGCGCATTGACGACGCGGCGGTCATCCGATACCTGGAGGCAGTGGGACCGAGTGGGGCGGTGTTGTTTGCGGGTGTTCGCCGTCGAAGCTGTGTGATCGACTGAGACTCGAGGGCTGGGAGGTCGAACGCCTTGGCGAGGAGGCGGTCGGGAGCTCCAGGGGCCGCTAGGCCCTGGGCTGTCCGCCAGCCAGAGGAGCGACGCCGGCGGGAGGAGGGCGCCGGCGCCGGCGAAGCGGCGAGAGGCCGCCGGCTGGAGTGGAGGGTGGGCGGATTGCCGCCGAGGGCGGTACAGGAGAGCGGCTTCGCGGTTGTCACGCCCAGGCCATCATTCAAAACACATTCGAGGCTAGCGACCCAGAAACCAGGACATGACGAACCAGGACGTTGCAAGATACTGCTGGGTTAGAGCAACAAATTGCAGTTTCTTGGGCGTGCCAGGCTGGTTCATCCAGGTCCCCAGCTCTCGTGCCTGGTGCACATTTGATGTGAATGTCCCATCTTGACTTGTGCTTGGATTTGACTCGGAAGGGGGGGAAAAAGGGAGGGCGTGGGGCAGAGGGGGAGGAGGTCGAGGGGGAGGGTGCGGAGCGGAACGTGCCTCCTGTGAGAGCGGGGAATCCTACTCGGGTGAGCGTGGCTCGCGTTTAGCAGAAGCACTCAAGCAGCGTTGCGGCACACTCCGCGGCGAGCAGGAAGAGCTGCGTCGCCAAGCCCTGCTACCCGCGAGCGGGCCTCCTGCGAGCCACAGCACGAAGTCCCTGCAACTAACTACGGGTGCGCTCTGGCCAGAATTTCGTGGCGGGCCTGGCCACGGCGACAAGCAGAGCGTCCAGGAGGCACGGAACAGGGACGGAAAACGTTTTAAAGTTGTGACCCTCGACGTCTGATCCTCGATCCTCGAGGGAAGACGTTATTAGGTTCGTTGTCATGGAAGCCTTGGCGCTCACCGAACTTTTTGTTTGCGTTTCGCGGCCAGTGGCCGCGAGCATGGGGTGATTGTTGGACGGGTGGCGCGGGGCGTGCGTTGCTATTTGCCGCTGGTCGGTTGCCGCTGTTTGCCGCTCACCCGCCAACACCTTGCTCAAGGTAGGCTTCCGAAACATTGAGCGTGCCTGCCGACGCCGAGGAGCTGCGCCGGGACCTCTGGCCGCTGTTCCTCGCCCTGGGGCCCCTCCGCGCGCGCTCCTGTCTGAGGGCCCTCTCCGCCGACGAGGTGCGGCTCTACCTGGTGCCGCTGCACAGGCTTCGGGTGTGCGACAGGGGTGGCCCTGGCCCAGGGTTGGCCCCAGCTTTTCAGAAGTGGGGCCGACGTGAGGATGAAGAGGATGATGATGGATGAGGGTGATGGTGAGGAGGATGGTGGTGATTGTTATGATGATGGTTTTGGCAGTGATGTTGATGGTAATGGTGATCATGATGGAGGCCTGCGGGCGATGGCGATTGTTTGAATGGTGGTTATGATGGTGAGCATGCTGACGATGCTGATGCTGATGATGATGCAAATTGGTGATTGTACTGGTGATGGTGGTGATGATGACGATGCTGACAATGACGCTGGTGATGAGGCTGGCACACGGTGACGGTGGATATTTCGACGGTGGTGGTGATGATCATGATGTTTTCGTTGATGATGTTGATGAGAATGGGATGTTGATGATGATGATGATGTGGATGATGACGACGACGGTGATGACGATGATGATGATGATGAGGAGGAGGAGGAGGATGAGGATTATGGTGAGGATGGGTCTGCCGATAATGGTACGCGTCGGTCGTTGAACGTATGTATTTCTGGATGCTCAGATCCGGATGTACTATAGGCACGTTCCGACTTCAAGAGTCGAGCGGTGTTCCGTCTTCCTTCCTCATCAGGGGGCGGGCGGGAGTCCTAATTATTTTTACCGTCATCCTACTTCATGCTTCTACCCAGATGTTCCGATCGACGGGTGAGAATGGTGATGATGAAGATGATGATGATGATGATGATGATGATGATGATGATGATGATGATGATGATGATGATGATGATGAGAGTGTTGGTAATGTTCATGGTGATGGTGATGATGACGATGACGTTGATTACGGTGACGGTCGAGATGATGATGACAATGGTTATGATGACAGTGGCGAGGTTGAAATATGCGGATGATGGTGGTGTTGACGAAGATGATGATGACGACGATGATGACAGTGATGACAATGACGAGGTCAGCGACGATGGTTATGCTGATCATGGTGATGATGAGGATGATGATCATGCTGCTGATGATGATGCTTATCACAGTGGCGACGATGATTATGAAACTTATCCTGATGATAACAATGAGTATGGTGATGGTCATGATGATGCTGCTGCTGATACTGATGCTGACGATGATGCTGATGATACTGATGAAGATGATGCTGCTGACGATGATGATGCTGCTGATGCTGATGCTGATGCTGATATTGCTGATGATGATGATGACGATGGTGGTGATAGCGACGATGCTGCTGATGATGATGAAGATGAGGATGATGATGAGGAGGAGGAGGTTGATCATGATACTGATGTTGTTTGTGATGATGTTGATGATAAGGCTGACCATCATGATCATGGTGATGCTCATTATGATCATTACGACGATGAGAGTGGTGAGAGTGATGATGATGGTCTTCGGTGCAGCCCTCCTAATTCCAAGGGGCTCTGGCGCGAAAAGCTGGGGCTACCATTTGGCCAGGGTCACCTTCTGAGCAGCACCTGGACAGGGCCCTCTCCGCCGGGGACTTCCTGGAGCTGGCCTCTGTGGAGGACGTGCGCGAGGAGATCGCGGACCTGGAGGCGACGGCGTCATCATCGGCGTCGACGTGCCTGGAGGTGTATCGTGCTTCTCGTCGCCACGGCCAGACGCGGCTCGGAGAATGGTGTCCAGGTCTGTTGTTAGGGAGCTTTCTGGAGGTTCTCGCGGCCACGGCTGGACGCGGCTCGGGAAACGTGCTAGCGTTGACCCCGCAAGGGGCCTGGATCGGATGAAGGGGAGGCTTCTAGATCTCCTCGCTGGCTAAACGTGGCTCTGCGAACGGGCCAGAATGAACTTCAGGATGGGCCCTGGGACTGGTGTTGAACGGATTCTGGTGGGGGGCAGGGCAAGCGGGGGCGGCCCTCTATGGCTTGTCCAAACGAAAGGCTTGCAGGCGGCAGGCTTGCAGTCCGAGAGGGCGGCGACTGAAGCAGCGTCGGCGTTTCGTCGTCGACGCCGCAACTAGGGAACCAGGGGGGCCCACAGTCTCTTAATTCGAGTTGTTCCGAGGGGGGCTGCTCGGTGGCAGCAGTCAAGTACAACGTGCATAAGCAGCGATCGTGCGAAGCGACCCGGATCGTTCGGAGCCTCCGGTATCTGGGGATGGGAACGTCGATTGTCTGCTTGCCCTCGCTGGTCCACGGCGCGGGTCTTCCCGAGAGAACAATTCGTAGTACACACCAGCCGCTCCAAGCAGAACGAACGGGCGAATCGGGATGGATTCCGCTGAACGGAGCACGAGGACTGAAGCTCGGACTAGCTGGATTTTACCACAGATGAGCATACAGGACGGAAATTTTCGCATGGGTTCCTATAAGGTTGTGGCCGGGTTGAAATTTCACGCTTCGGAGTTGTTCGCGTAAGACTTGATGATGCAAGAAACCGCACGTGAGTTCTACGACATTGACCGCTCCTGCAGCGGAAGATCTTCTCGCACAGACCGCCGGGACCATTTCGTTTCGAATCTGATCCACAACGCACCACTATTTTCTGGAAATGATTGTGGAAGTCGCTCAACGCGGTGAGGAAGTTGAACACCATGAGATGACTTGGAAGCTTGAGCGCATCTGGAGGCCGTGATTCGTTCACCACCCCGTACTTTTGAGTGCGCGGCCATATGATAGGGAGGAGTGGGTCCATGAAACATTTTCATTCGGTGCGTGCAGATTCGGGGACGAAGGTATTTTACCAAACACCCAACACATGCGAATTGATAAACTCCTTGCCGAGGCGAACAGCGCCATCTTGGCCGGCCTGGGAATGAAGTTGGAACCCTGGGATACACTACAAACGCGAGCAAAGTTGAAACCGGGGAAGGCGGCAGGTTACGACGGAATTCCTCCACATACGTACCGTCAACTACCCATGCCTGACATTTTCCACGAACGCCGCCTCTTCAAAGACAGGGTGTCTTCCATCGGGGACCGTAATCTTGTGTTCTGGCCTGAAAATCCCCAAGAACGCGTTCGCTGGGTCCTTTGCCAGATTTACAGTTGATTTGCAAATCGCCGGCGCTACAGAAGTGGTACTTGCACGCGCTCCAACACATGCTGCGCAGCAGTATTTTCAAGTCAGTCGTGCATTATTATGTATCCCAGGAGGGCGCCACGACTATGGAGTTAACCAGCTCGACATGTGAGCTCCACTACATAGCGCACGATTGGGGTTCGCCCGTGGTTACATCAGGGAAGGACAGTACCGGCCTTCGACTCCATGCCAGACGACCTGCTTGCGACTTCTGTGCTGGCACGTGAGGTATGCAGACACATTCCGGCGCTCCACGCACAAGAATTCATTGGACTCGATGCCGTCATCGACCTCCCGAGCGCGGGGCTCACTCAGAAGTTCTTTTCGGCCTGGGCGGCAAGCACGGTGGAGCAGAGACACCCGACGAATGGCGAGGGATTGCGGGCTACGTCATGGAGCCCATGATCGCGGTTTGGTCAGAGTTTGGCCTTGGATTTCGATTGCCGGAGGATTGCGTCTTGGAGGTTTTTGTCGTGGATGCAACTCTGGTCAACCATGCGGCGCTGTGCGACGACATTGTCCTCTTCGCTCATAGTGGCACGGTGATGCAGAAAACGACGTTATGATTTAAGCAGACTGGTTTTCCATGTTCCTCGCAAACCGACTTGCGAAGAGTATCTTGCGTGGAAGACAGAACCGCTCGAACACGATGCCCGATGCGGCACAGCTTGCCGACGCCGGGCCACGCACTCTCGGGGAAGGGGGAGACCGAATTCAGTATCGACATACAGAAGGGTTCGAAATAGTTAGCGAGTTTCTGGACTGCGCAAGTTCGACGCCAGCCAGTATGCACCACAACTTCGTGATTGTATGGGGACATGATTAAACACACCAAAGTATACTCAGGAATCCGCTGGTACCAGTCTCCAAACGCTTTCTGGCCGGAGGTGCATCTACATCTTCCATCGCACAGTACAACGAGGGTGGTTGGCATTTGACGCCAGCTTTGCTTCGGCAGGTCCGCGCGTGGGAAGCGAAGGTGCTCCGATGATCTCTACGATTCATACGGCGACCTGGTGAAGGGCCTTGTGAATACAACCGCCGGACTGCCATGCTGATTTCCAGATGGGGTACGCCGTGTGGGTGTACAACCGTCGATTACCGGATCTCAAAATCGGTATATAGGCTTGGCATGGCTCGAAACCCAAAGCTAGCTAGTGTCCCCTGCAGGTGGCTCTTCCCATGCACGGCGCCAGTCTGGCCCTGTGCACAAAAAACGGAAGTGTGGACTGGTTCACGGGCGCAGTGGTTCTCTTCGGCCCGGGTGGGAATATCCTTTCGTTAATGTCTGAGGCAGTCACTGGAGAAGCCAGCGCGACGGCTGCAACGCGCTTCAATAGTGGATGGGTGGATTTCCAGATTTTTGCATGTGGTTCTGCCGTTTTTCTGTCAATTCTTTCTCCTGATCTGAGCATGCCGAATGACGAGATGGCCCGGGCGCCCTGCATGGTGATCCTCAGCACGTCTTTGTGTGACGCCCCGGTGTTCCCAGCCAGCCCTCGCGAGGCTGAATGGGAGTTGCGCCAGTCTTCCTCACGGGTGCAAGCCGACAACAAGCAGGTTGCCGAATTGTTTGCCGGCAGCGCTGCCTTGAAAGGTCAGTTTTTTTGTCCAGCATGTCTTCGCACCGCTCGTAGTTTGGAAGGCGATTGCTCCTGAGGTGTGAGGCTTCTCGCTCGCATATCCGATTCTGTTCTGCGAGACCCCCCCCCATTTTCACAGTCTGGCCGATCACGCGGCGAGCATGGCCCTGGACAGGTGCGGCCCATGGGAGGATGCACGCGGTGAGTTGTTGGCGCAAGCGGTGGCCGAGAAAACCTGTATCCACTTTTGCGTGGACGGAGCCAGGTGAGGATTTGGCCACGGATCGGCCGACATCGTTGTTATGTTTTTTTGTTCCATGTGAACCGCGTCAAATTGTGTATACAGCAGGAACGACGTCTGGTCAAGTGCAGTCGGCATTTGTGCCGACGCGCCGTCTGTAGAATGAAGGTCCAACGGTATTCTGATGTATCTAAGACCTTTTAAACGTTTGGGACGTGCAGGTGTGCACGCCTTACATTGTATCGAAAGGAAGACAGGATATTGTAAGTTTCTTATAAGCCCTCCTGTCGCCTGCTTAAAAGCTCCTGGGGGCGGGAGGGGCCTTTTATGAGACGCATTCCCCCTGCCTTCCCAGAGCGCCACCACTCTCGCCCTTTTTTATTTCACTGGCGCAGTCCGTAATTCGATTTTCACAATGTAGAGCGAACTGAAGTGGCTTCAGTTTGCAGCTGACTCCCCAAAGCTGTTAGATGGCAGGTTCTGTATCCATGGGGTGCGGGTATGTTGCTTGCCCTTGTCAGCCACAGTTTCGGATAGGACGTTAGCGGTGTGGGTGCGGGGGGCTGGACGGAAGTTTCAAACCATAGGGTGAGGCGGTTTTGCAGGCAGTTATAAGCCATGGGGGAACCGCAGAGGGTCGTTGATGTTCCCCGCCGCCCCGACCTTGGCTCTCGTCTGGCACTGATGGTTGTTATTCTCCCCCTCGTTCCCCCAAACATCATCATCATCACCATTAGCATCAGCAGCAGCATCATGACCATCAACATTATCATCATCACCGCCACCGGTTCGCAGTAGTCTTCGGGTTCAATCCGTCAATAAGTACGCGCAAATTTTATGTTTCCCGTTATGGGGGGGTCAAATCCTTTCTCAGTTAATGGTGATTTGTGGGCAGATCTGCAAGCCAGGGGATGAGGATACGTCAATTGCAGTTTTCGGGCCAGGGGGGGGCAGGCAGGGAGGAGCGAGGATCAGTTTATGTAGTCTTTGGCAAGTGGGTAAATAAGATGTTGCTTGTAGTGCTAAGCCAGGGGGTGGGGTATGTTTTGCTGGCGGTGTTTGGCCGGGATTGGTCCGGATGTTTTGCAAGCGGACTCAGGCCAGCAGTGTGAGCATAGTGCGCAGGCAGTTTTACACATAGAGTGATGGGGGTATGTTGCCATTATTTTCAGCACCAGGGGTGAACCACATTTGCGGGTATTTCTAAGTACAGGAGGGAGGATTCCATGTTCTTGGTATTTTCAGTTTGCCTAGCGATCGTCTGCTTTACGCGATTGTTCTTGTCACGCCGCGATGAGACTCGATGTTCGCGCGCCCCACATCCCCTTGCCCTCCGAGAGAAAAGCGAGAATGTGTTGCATGTGGTTTCAGGTCAGGTCCGTGTCAGTTCTAAGCCAGGGTCGTCTGCAGGCAGTCTTAGAGCCAGCGGTGGTATACATGTATGTATGTATGTATGTATACGTGTATATATATATATATAGGTATCTGGAAATTTGTTTCCGGACATGGCTGATGTTGTTTGGCCAGGTTTTGTTTTTTTCTTTGATGGCACAGCCATGGATTTGATGATCACGGGGTGGAGTGAAATTACGTAGCTGAATTTAACTGAGCTGCCTGGGCCGTTGCGCGACAATTTCGCTCGCGTGGTTTGAGGACATCCCGGTTGCAGTTTTCGCGAAGGTATTGTTGGGGTTGCAGTACGAGGTGGGAGGAAGGTGATAGTTTAGGTTTGGATTGCAGTGTCTGGCGTGTGTGTGTGTGTGTGGATTTTAGGGATTACGGCAATAGGCGGGTGCATGGGGAGGGTGGTGGCTACGGCATTATAGGCGTTGGGGGGCTTGGACGCATGGGACTCAGGTTTTGGCGCGTAAGTGTGAACGTGGAGATTACAAGTCGGGGGGAATGGGTGAGGATATGTAGCTGTCAGTCTTTATGTCCGGGGGTCAATATAAATTGCTGACGGCCTTGAACCAAGGGATTGGGATAGCTTGTTGGCAGCTTGAATCCACGGGGAAGACATTTTGATGTCATATTCAAACATGGGGTGAGGGTGATTCGCGGGCATGTTCACCCCGGAGCGGTGGCAATATTTGTGCTGGTAGTTTCAAACCAGCGGGTGAGGATTTGTTTTTGGCATGTTTAGGCCAGAAGGGGAGATGACATTTCGCTGACAATGTTCAGCCATGGAGGGACGCTTTGCGGGCTGGGCTACTGCAGGGGATGGATATGTTGCTGGCCGTCTTAGGCTAGGGATGTGATGGTCTGATGACTAATGACAGTTTGCAGCCATGGGGGATGACATGCTGCAGACAGTATCAGGCCAGTGGGTACGGCCCCCTTGCTGGCACTTGCAGGCGTTTGGCCGCTTTCTGATGCAGACAGCTTAAACTTGCGGATGCCACGACACTGGACATCCTAACAGTCCTATCTTTGATAAACACATGTTTTCAACGTGTCGGAAACATGTCCTGAACATGTTTTAAACTTGTTTTTTCACATTAAAAACAGTTCTAACCTATCTTTAGTCATCTGAAAATTATTAGGCAACATGCTTCCTCTCCATTGATCGTCCTCCACAAGCTTAAACAAGGGGGTGGGGATATTTCGCTGGCCATTTCAGGGCATGAGGGAAGTCAGGATAAGTTGTTGCCAAGTTGAAGTCATTGTGTTGAATTTTTCGTTGTCGGCAATTGTGTGGCAGCTGGTTGGTGAAACATTCGACCCCGGGCGATGCGGAGAAGTTTCTGTACGCGTCATTCATGCCAGGCGTCAGCATGTATTGCAGACAGTGTGAAGCGAGGGGGGTGAGGATACATTTCTAGCCGTGTTGCACGATGGGAAGGGTTAGGGGTGTGTCTCCCGCAGCTTTCACATTAGGCCAATGGGTGAGGACATGTTCCTGGCGGTTTTAATCAAGGGGGTACGGTTATGTTGTCGGCAGTTGTATGCCGCAGGGCGAGGATGTGTTGCTGTAGCCCCAAGTCAAGGCGGGCTGCTTTGGAGGCTGGAATAGTGGTGTGACGGCCAACGGCCGCGCACGTTTGGGTCCAGAGGCCTTTACCCAATTTGATGGTCGGTACACGCACTCAGGCAACGCGAGCTTGCAGATGGGCAATCGTCGCCGAGTCGGCGCATGCGAGGGCCACGCATCCAGCGCTGCGCTGCACCCGTAGTGTTTCCTTACTGCTTGGGCCACAACGCGCGTTATGCCCCCCCCCCCCCGTAACGTAACGCTCCGGCCCCCATTGTGCCCCCATCACTGCCGCCGTGCGCATAGGTATCCGCATGGGAACCCGACTAGGGATCCGCATAGGCATCCGCACAGAAATCCGCATCGGAATCCGCATGGGGATCGCATACAGATATCCATCCGGATCCGCGTAGGGATCCGCATCGGGACCCCCAGGGATCCCATAGGGATCCGCATAGGGCTCAGCAAAGGGATCCGCATAGGGATCCAAGTGGGGATCCACAGGGATCCCCACAGGCATCGGCACAGGGATCCGCACAGGGATCCGCATAGACATCCGCATAAGGATCCGCACAGGGATGCGCACAGGGATCCCCAGAGGGGTCGTCAGGGATCCGCATAGAGATTCACATATGGGCGGTGGTCGCGGCAAGTTGCGTTGCTCTCAGGCACTTGTGATGTTCGTAGGAGAGAGGAGGAGAAGGACGACGACGACGAGAATGGAGGAGGGAGGTAAGGAGCATACCTTTTATACGCCACATGGAGGCAAAGACGCCTTCGCAGCCATGTGCTCGCCACAACTCCTCTTCGCTCTTCGTTGTCGATCGGTTGTCGTCGTCGTTGTCGTCCGTCGTCGTCGTCGTCGTCTTTGTCGTCGTCGTCGCTCTTCGTTGTCGCTCGTCGTCGTCGTCGCTCATCGTCGTTGTCGTTGTCGCTCGTCGTCGTTCTCGTCGTCGTCTTCGTCGTCATCGTCATTGTCGTCGGTCGTCATCGCTCGCGGTCGCTCGTCGTTGTCAAACGCCTTCGAAAGCTTTTGAGGGCCTCTGGAGGCCTTCGGATGATTTCCTGAATGCCTCTCCAGAGGCTTCCAGAGAAATCAGCCTCCAGAGGCCTCGGGAGACCTCCTGAGGCGTCGCTCGGAGTCGTCGTCGTCGTCGTCGCCGTTGTCGTCGCTCGTCGTCGTCATCGTTGTCGTTGTCGTTGTCGTCGTCGTTGTCGTCATCGTCGTCGTCGTGGTCGCTCGTCGTCGTCGTCGTCGTCGTCGTCGTCGTCGTCAACGTCGTCGTCGTCGTCGTCGCTCGTCGTCGTCGTCGTCGTCGTCGTCGTCGTCGTCCTCGCTCGTCGTCGTCGCTCGGCGTCGTCGTTGTCGTCGCCGTGGACGTGTTCGCTCGTCGTCGTCGTCGCCGCTCGTTGTCGTCGTGCGCGCGGACTCTGGACTGGCGCTGGAACCGCACTACGGGGGGGGGCCTTACGTTATGCCCCCCCCCATACCCGCTTTCGCTGCGAATGAAGAAACGCGCTCGCATATGCTCGCTCCCTGGCTTGAGGCAGGTCTCGTGATTAGTGTTTGGCTTTGTGAGATGCCTGGTGATTTTTGTTGGGGTTGGGCGGCGGGCTGTCTGGTCATTTTTGTTTGGCGCCGCCGGCGAGGCGCTGATACAGAACTTCGCCCTCCACCCGAGGCACCGCGCAGGGAACCCGTTCCAGTTCATGACGGGGTCTGAGCGCGGCTCCGTCTCGGAGCGGGAGCTCCTGTGTGACGAAAGGAGGAGAGTTTGGCCCACCTCTTCGCGTTGTGAATCCACCTGCGCTGCCGCGCGATTCCGACACCGCGCTCGGGCGGCCATGGGGGTGGGATGGCCTTAGGGGGGGATGGGGGGAGGGGCCGCGGAACCCGCCTTCCCCAGGCTTCGTATTTGGATTTTTGTTCTGGCTGGAGGGCCAACAGCGCCAGGACTTGGTAAGAAAATGTGGAAACATTTTTGGCTCGATGCGTCGGAGGCTTCTTTCCTTTGCAGAAAGCAAAAGGGCCTGACGCACACCGACCGCTGCAAGCGCCTTGGCGGATTAAATGAGACTCGACGTGTTCTTGGCCTCTGGGGGCTGCTGCTGGACCCCAGGACCGTCAACAACCGACTCATGGTTGAAGGCCGGCCCCGGGGAGAAGGTCCAGACCTCTAGGTGCTCGCGACGTGAAGCAAACACACGGTGTCGGTGTTCTGGGTTTGCCCAGGGGGAGGGATACATCGACACCCCACTGCCCCGCCGACATGGGCCTGGCTAGCCCGCCCTGCCCAGGAACGTGTGGCTGCGCAATCGGAAACCTCTCGCTAATATACATGGACCCTCATGCGCACCTCTCCGATGAACCAGAGCTTAGAGGCGATTAATTGAAGCCGAGTTTCTTTGTGCTGGCCGTTTCGCTCAGCACATCGCGACGTCATGGGTCATGGTCCTAAAACAGATTTGTTTTCAACAATGTGAACATGACGCCTTCAAAAACACAATGGAATTCAATAGATGTGGGCCCAATTCTTCGAATATTGCAGTTCCACCTGGGACATCCTCAAATCGAGGCCCTGTTTAAAAGTGATCCTGAAAAAGCCAATTTCGCCTGAGGCACCCTCCCAACATCGAGCACACAAACTCACACGCACACAACACGCACCTAATAGACACACCACACAAAGCACATGCACCCCACAAAACACACAACACAACACACACATAACACACACACACACACGCACAACACCTGTAACACAAACAACACACACGTATACACATTCACAAACGCACAAACGCACACACTACACACAACAGCGCTCCCACACCCAGCACAAGCCATACACGCAAACGAACACAGCACAAACACACAATATGCTCATACACACAGCACGCCTAACACACATAACACGCAGCATGCATACCTCGTTCGTAGCGCACGCAGCACACACAACACACACACACACACATCCTGCACAAGAGTTTGCCAGATCCTGGGCACGCACGTGTCTTTTGTATATCCCACCAGCCCGATGGCCTGATTTGTCATGTGTGCGGGCCCTCGCGAACTCTTCCCCAGACCAGCTTCCCGTCCGGACCCTTTTCTTTTGTGACCTCAATCGGAGGCGAGCGAGGGGGGGAAATGAGAAGGAGAAGGCCTTCTCAGAAGGCAGCGGGACTTCTCAGAAGGCGCCTGGTCTTCTGAGAAGTTGTTGTTCTGTCCTGGGGAAGGCTTGGAACACTTTTCAGAAGTCCAGGGAACTTCCGAGCCTTCTGAGAAGGCTTTCTCCTTCTCACTTCCCCCCCTGGGCGCGCCGCCTAGTACAGGGCTCCAGAGTGGCCCCTGGGGCCAGGACATCCGAACACAAACGTGTGTGCATTACGTAGACGTCCGAGTCCTGGGCCGCCCCCCCACGCGTCCCTCCCCCGAGGAGCGCGCGGACCTGTGCCTGCTGTACGTCAGACTGAGGCACAGCCAGGACGTCTGCAGGCACTTCGGCGTCAGCACCGTCGACGCCGAGGCCGCCGCCGGAGCGGGGGCCCTGGCGGAAGAGGAGCGGCGACTTCGCGGAAGGGGGGTGGAGGGGCAGGAGAGGAGGGAGGGTGGATGCAGGAGGCGAAGGGCGGGACAGGGGGGGAGGTGGAGGCAGTTGGGGAGGGAGGTGGAGTGAAGGAGGTGTCGGTCTGGATGTTGTAGTCACGAGGAGGGAACCCTGAAGTCTATGAGCTCCATCAGTGTCAGCGGGCAGCGTGCAACACAAAGTTGGTGTCAGGCGCATGTTGCCCAGATCGCGACAAGATGGAGGGACATACGGTCGGACATTTGTGTTTAGCGTGTCGCGCCGCCGGTTGCGGCCCACCTCGCTCCGGGGCGACACGCTAACCACGCCCCAGCCCCCAGCCCCCAGGCATCAACGTTCCAAGCTCGCCCCAAACTTCCATCCCGCGAAGCAGAGCGACACGCTAGCAGCCTGCACGGCACAGAAGTTGACTGACCGTATGGAGAGGCACGTCGAGGGAGATTGGCAAGGCAAAGCGGGGGGGTCCTCTCGATCGACGCAGAGTTGGCGAGGAGATGTACGGTGCCTGCTCTGAAGTGCTCGTCAGGCGCATGTTGCCCAGACCGTGCAAGCTTGGAGGGACCTGTGGAGGAGGGTCGGAAGACTGGAGCGAGCGTGGGGGGGGGGCCCTCTTGATCCCTCGAGTGCCTCGGACCCCGCAGCCCCCGCGAGATGCTGCGCCGGCTCTTCGCGGTGCTGGCAGAGCGCGACGTGCGGGCGCTCGCCGCCGGCAGGGCGCCCGCCAAGGCCCCGTGGGGGGCCCCCCCGACGGCGCGGCCGTCGCTGGCATTGGCCGAAGCTCGAGGTCCGAGGACTGGCGATCGCTCCGGGGAGTCCTCGTGGCGCCCTCGTGGGGCGCCCTCGGGGATGGGTATCGGGTGCGCCCCCGTGGCCACGGCCGGACTCGCCCCAGGGTTCTGGTGAGTCAGAATTCGCCCCAGGAGAGGTCCGTGGCCTGATTTTTGAGGTTGACCGTCATTGCCGTCCTTGTCGCCGCGAGGTCCTCCGCGACCACCAACGACGACGAGCGATGAAGGGCGCCGCCACCGCCAACGTCTCCGTCGTCGTCGACGCTGTCGTCGCCCACGTCGCGGTCCAGTCAAAGTCCACGCAAACCAGCCCGCGATGGCGCGAAGGTGGGCGGCGACGACGGTCGCGACGGTCTCGACGAGCCAGAACCACGACGTCCTCGTCGGTTTTTTTTGGGGGGGAGGGGGGCTTCTTGGAGTTGTTTTAACTGTTGCATGGGACGCGCGCATAGATTGGACAGGGACGAGGGGGGTGTCGATAAAAGGGGACCCTTTGGGGTGGTACGACTTCAGATTTAGATTGAACGGTGGGGCAGAACCATCTGTAGTTTGCAGTGCCCCAGAGTGTTCCAGCCCACCAGGGGGGGGGGAGTCGAGCTGATTTTCATTTTGACAAAGAAGAATACTTGGATCTGTCAGCTTCATTGCTCGCGCACTCACCCCGCCCACCCACCCGCAACTGGGTTTACCCATGCGGCGGCGATTGCGATGAGTGTTTGGCGCTGACTGGTGCATTTCTGCGGCCGCGCTATCGCGCGCACGCTCACGCGAACAGCGGCCAGCTAGTTCGGCACAACAGACGCGGCCACGGTGGCACTGACCGAAGCGGATTTCCCAGCGCGTCTCACGGGCCTCGCTGGCGCGCGGACATTTCAGTGGGGTTCACTGATTCGGGCGGGCGCAGTTTCATGGTGACGTCGACAACGGCGGACGCGATGGTGATAGTATCGGTGATGGTTACGATGTTTGCGACGACGGCGACGGCAAGGCCAATGACGGCGCCGAGGCTGGTCACGCTGGTGACGATGATGATGTCCGCGTGTCGTTGGTGAGGGTTTTGGGAGAATTTCGGCTTGCGCCTGCGGCCGACGCGCGCGCATGGCCCGCATGGTAGGATTTGACAGGGACCGTGCCCCCCCATCAACCGCGCAGTTCGAATGATTTCGACACGCGTGTGCGACAGGCCCGCGTGGTTGCATTTAACGAGACTGTTAAACAGACAATCGTTCAATCAACATAGTTCAGTCAAAATCTCGCAACAGCGCGCGCCGATTTTCAGCATTCTAGCGCCGCTGCAACATGTTTTGTTGTTGTTGGTTGTCGGCAACCTCGATCTTGAGAGCCGTTCGCAATTCCGCGTGCTTGAACGATTCCGGCGAGCGCGCGCGACGACGCGCGCGCGTGAGTTTGTTTCAGATATTTTCCAGGGGGGTTATTCGGTATACTTACTTCTACAAGCATACGGTAAACGTGTGTTTCATTTTGACACGGGTGAAAGGGGGTGGGTGAAGACAAACATCTTTTGGGATGGTAGGATGCATTTGCCAAGTGAGCGGCGAGGTAGATTCATACGTATATTGAATTCACTTTTTTTGGGGGGGGGATGGGGTCGATTCTATATTGTATTCGTTTCATTCGGACAGGGGACATTTGAGGTGTACGTTATGTGGTGACGTGATTTACCGATCTACGTAGTGCAATCTACGTTGTGCAGCTTACTTTTAATTTTGTGAAGGAATTGGAGTTTGCAGCTCCACCTCTCGAGCGGCCATCCCCTCCACCCACCCACCCGCAATTTGGTATGCAAAACCCACCTGGCGGCGATTGCGATGAGTGCTTGGCGCTGACTGGTGCATGTTTGCGGCCGCGCTAACGCTCGCAAGTTCGCGCGAAAAGCGGCCAACTAGTTCGGCACAACCGGTGCGGCCGAGGTGGCGCTGACCGGTGGGGCCCTCCTCATACATAGAAATGGGAGCTAATATGATGCATACAACTGTGAACAAGCTACAATTGCCAGCTCCATCTTTTCGCGCAGTCACACCACCCTGCCACCCGCCGCTTCGTTTACATAACCCATCCAGCGGCGATTGCGGCGACTTCTCGGCGCCGGCTGTCGCATCTTTGCGGGCGCGATAGCGTGCGCAAGCTCGCGCGTTGAGCGGCCAGCTAAATTGGCGCGATCGACGCGGCCGCGTTGGTGCTGACCGCTCAGGACTTCCCAGCGCCTGTCACAGGCCGCGCTTGCGCTCAAGCGCTTTTGTGCGGGTCGGTGGCCCAGGCGGGCGCGGCTTCATGGTGACGTTGGCAACGACGGAAACGATGATGATAGTAGCGATGGCGGTGGCGATCATGACGATGACGAAGGCAAGGGAAATGACGTCACCGACGCTGGTCACGCCAATGGCGATACTGATGTCCTCTTGTCGTTGACGGAGTTGCTGATGTAGGTGTCGCGAGGATTTCGACATGCGCGCGCGGCCGACCCGCTCGAGTGGCCCGCGTGCGCGGTTCGCGCCCCCCCCCCCCCTCCCCTACAAGCGCGCAGTGACGTTCGAATGATTTCGGGACGCGCGCGCGAAAGGCCGGCGCGCTTTTTTTGACGAATTCTACAAAAACGTTGTCTTCCAGTCGCAGTTGCCCTCGCAGATGTGTTGGGCAATTCGTGTGCCAAAGCAACGTTCTTGTATTCATGTTCGGGAACGTCGGTCCTGAAACCCTTACGCACCCACAGGATATAGGAACTATTAAGACATGCGTTTGTGACGACGAGCGCGTGTGGATTCTGTTCTATGTTTTGGAAGAGAAGTTTTTGAACATTAGCTGATTGTGATTGACGTTTTTGCGCGCGTAAACTTGATTGAAGGAGGGGGGGAGGTCGATAAGGGGATCCCAGGGGGTGGTATGAATTCATGTTCAGACTAAACGATGGGGGGGCATTTTATGTAATTTGCGGTGTCCCAGGGGGTGCCCGTAAACCCACGGGGGGAGGGGTAGACTCTACGGGGCTCGCACGATCGTAATTCTGACCGACATGTGGCGGCGGCGTCGGGCGGCGACGGGCCACCACAAGCCAGCCGGACCAGCGCACAAACCCAGATGGACAGCGGCGACGGGCGGCGACGGGCCAACACAAGACGGCCGGCCCCGCGCACAGCCCCAATTCTTTAGGAGAGAAGTAGGAACCCCAAATTGCAATCATTGTTTAGGGAAAGCAGAGGAGGTGGAGAAGGCAGAGGATAATGATAAAAAGGATGATGGCAGTGAGTTGGAACCGGAAAAGAGAGACGTGGGGGATGAGGGTGGAGTGGGTCGAGGAAGCAGAGGAAGAGGAGGAGGAGGAGGAGGACGAGGGGCAGGACGAGGAGGAGGAGGAGGGGGTGGAGGAGGAGGAGGAAGAGGAGGAGGAGGAGCACATCGGCGACGAAGGAGAAATGGAAAGGAAAAAGGGATTTACAAGGAGGAGGAGAGTGAGGAGAACAAGAACGAGGGCAATGAACAAGGCAGAGATTTTGTGATATGTGGTTCCTCCGTTGATCCTGAATCCCATGACGTCTCAGGGACTTCCAGAGGCCTCCAGAGGCCCCGTCTTTATTGGGCATGCCCAGTGGATCATCGATGGTCGAGGGCAAAACATCGCAAGCAGGAGTAGCAAGAAGACCCGCCTCTCTGGCCCAGGCGGTCCTCGCGCGCTACGAGGCCCGGAGGAGGACGCAGGAATACCGCTGCCAAAGCGGCTCGCATGGGCGTGGTCGCCGCGCCACCGCCGTCGTCGCAGTTCGCCTCCCTTCCCCTTCTCCCCCCTCCCACTAATCCTTCTCGCTCTCCACTTACTTTTTTCTCCTCCTCCTCCTTATCCTACTCCTCCTCCTCCTCATCTTCCCTCTCCCCCCCTCTTCCTCTCGCCTCGGCTTCTCCTCCTCCTTTGTAGTCCTTCTTCTCCTTCTCCCTCCTCCCTGATTATTGTTCTTTGTAAGTAACTCCTTCCTGTCGCGCCCCGAGGCCAGTCGAAAGGTCGGGCCGGGCGTCTCGCCTGAGACTTCCTCACCACTTATGGCCCTGAAGCTTAAACACTGGCAGCAGCTTCACAGATGGAAGGCGGCGGGCCGCTTCCGAAATCTGGCGCTCGCCGTAGCGCCGCGCACACTCATTGTTAGCAGCTGAAAGAGCCTCACGGATGAAAGGCGGGTTGTTTTCAAATGTCGATCTCGCCTCAGCGCCGCGCATTCTTTATGAATGTCCATGAGCTTCAAGGATTTAGGGTGGGTGGTTTTAACATGTGGTTCTCGCCGTTAGCGCCGCGCTCATTCGTTTTAACAGTTCGCTTGAGCTTAACGGATTTAGGGCGGATTGTTTCCAACATGTAGTTCGCGTCTTTGCGCCGCGCGCGTTCGTGGCAAGAGGTGTGCAAGAGATCCACGGAATGAGAACGGGTTGTTTTTTAAATGTGGTTCTCGTCTCAGCGCTGGGCACATTCGTTACGAGAGAATTTTCAGGACATCCACGGGGTGAGGACGGGCTGTTTTCCAAATGTGGTTTTCGCCCTAGCGCCAGGCGCATTCGTTTTCAAAATGTGCAACGGCTTCACGGATTGAGGGCGGGTGGTTTTCAAAATGCGGCTCTCGCATCAGCGCCGCGCACACTCGTCCTGAATATATGCAAGAATTCCACGGACTCCCATTGACACCGTGCCAGATATTGTGGTCGGATCGACTAAGAACTGAGGGCGCAACAGTTACGTTGTTTCGTGGTGTCGAAGACCCAGGAAAGGTGTTTTGGCACGTCTCTGGATCGCCAAAACGCACCAATCATGTTGATTCGTAGCGGTGGAGTCCCGATCATTGTGTTCTGGTACGTTTCAGGGACTTCGAGTTGATGTTTCCCAACGAGGCGTTTCCCTCAGTGGAAATGAACCCTTGCGGGGGCCTATGGAGAGGGAACTTGGAGGGAGGCCTTTTTTCCCCAACATCGTTGATGGCTCTTGGGTTTGCACTGGTCCTCTTCCGCCCCCATCCTCCTCCCCCTCCTCTTCCATTCCCTTTCCATATAAAATACTTCATCCCCGTCGCACCCCGAGGCCAGTCGAAAGGGCGGGCCGGGCGTTTCAGTTAAGACGCCTTCACCATCTGTGGTTTTGAAATTTGGAATCTGCAACAGTTCGCGGATGGAGGGCGGGTGGTTTCCAAATTGCGGCTCTCGCCTTAGCACCGCGTGCACTCGTGCTAAAAAGTTTAGAGAACTTCACAGATAAGAGTGGGTGGTTATCGTCATTTGGTTCTCGCCCTAGCTCCGCGCGCATCCGTCTCAAAGTTTGCAGCATGTTCGCGGGTTGAGGGCGGTTCCTTTTCAAACTGTGGCCCTCGCCTTAGCGCCGCGCAGATCCGTTTCAAGTGATGACAGCAGTTTCAAGGATCCTACGTGTGAGCATCTCCACCATGGTGCTGTGGCACGATGTCGGATTGTCATGGCGCAACAGTTACGTTGATTCACGGCGCTGAAGTCCTTGGAATGGTGTCCTGGTACGATTTAGGGCCTTCAAACGCAGCAACGGCGCTTCGCAGCGTTGCAATCCCAGGAACGGTGTTCTGGCACAGTTCAGGATTTCCAAACGGTCGTTTTCCAACAAGGCATTTCCTTCAGTCGAGACCAATCCTTGTAAGGGGCTTACATCGAGGGAGCTCGGAGGGAGGCTTTTATGCAATATCGTTGATGATGCGTCTCCGATTTGCACTGGTCCTCCTCCTCCTCCTCCTCCTCCTCCTCCTCCTCCTCCTCCTCCCCATCCTTCTCCTCGTCGGCCTATTCCTCCTCCTCCTCCTCCTCCTCCTTTTCCTCCTCCTCCTCCTCCTCCCCTAGACCTCCACGGGTAATCTGATCTGATCTGATCTCCTCCCCATCCTTCTTCTCCTTCTCCTCTCCCCATCCTTCTCCTCCACGTCGACCGCCTCCTCCTCCTCGTTCTCCTCCTCCTCCTCGTTCTCCTCCTCCTCCTCCTCCTCCTCCTCCTCCTCCTCCTCCTCCTCCTCCTCCCCCTCGCTGGCTGTCGTTGGCACTGCCTGGGTGCTTCGGTCTCGTGAGCCCTGGGAGATGGATCGGCCGCTTCCGTGGTTTCCCCGCGGGTACTACGGCCCAATTTGGAGTCCACCCCCGCCGTCTCTTTGCTCTGCCCGGGGAGGAGTAGGCATCCGTAGCCTTCTGGCTCGGGGTCTCATCCTCTCTCCCTCTGCCCCGAGGCCTCTCACCCACGTTGTGCTCGGATGCAACTCCTGGGAGGTCAAATTCTGATTTCGTCCTGGTCCGACATGCGACTTAATCCCGCTTTATCCCGCTCAATCCGGCTTAATCCCGCCTGATCCATCTTAATCCCGCTAAATGCGAGGCCCAATTTGGCGTAACAGCGCCCCATTGGGGTTTAATCCTCTTTAAACCTTCCAACGAAGGCCTCTCAGTAGTTGCCTCCTAACGCTGTGTGTTGGCGTGGGGTGGAGCCGAGATCGGGCGAGGAAACCTGCCGGAGGGCCGCGTTGGCCCCCTCCCCACGGGGACTCCCTCGCTCTGCGTGTCCCTCCTGGGATGTCGCGTGTCCATCTCCACTGGGAGGCCGTGGCGTTCGGGTTTGGGCATGTCGGCACCATGGACTTCCTGCACTCCCCCTCCGGCCCTGCGCCCTCGGCCGAGGATGCTGGGCTGGTGTCGGTCGCCCACTGAGTTCAGGGAGAGTGTACGCCTCTTCCTGGGCCGACGTTGCTGGGCTGCTGTCGGATGCCCACTGGGCCTCGCAGCTCCTTGCTAAAGAGGATTCGCCCGCAGCCACAACATGCCACCTCGCAGGGAGGACCTTCGTCCATCCATCCATCCTCTTCTTCCTCCTCCTCCTCCTCCTCCACCCCCCCTCTGCCTCCTCCTCCTCCTCCTGCTGCTCCTCCTCCTCCCCCTCCGCCTCCTCCTTCTCCTCCTCCTCCGTCTCTTCCTCCTCTTCATCTTTCTCTTCATGCTCCTCTTCCTCCCTCTCGTTTTTCTTTTTCCTTCCTCCTCGCCCCCGAACTGCTTTTCCTGCTCACCTCCGTCCTCCTTTTCTTCCTCCGCCGCCGCTTCCGCCGCCGCCGTCATCGATGAAGGCTCCAGGATCCAGGTTTGAGGTTCTGGTGCAGTTCCAGACCTCGGGGTGCTCCGTGGCTACGCCAGATGCGGTGCCGAGATCCTGGTCAAAAGCGCACTCCAGGAGAGGTCCATGGGCAGGTTTCCGAGGGGATCGTAGTCGTCATTTCTGCGGTTCTTTGGGGGCTCATGCAGGCCCTCGCGGCGACGCAGCTGGGGGCGTGTCGCAAAACAGGCTTGGACGGACCCAGGAAGTTTGGTTTTGGCACAGGCTCTGGCCAGACGTCGTCGACGACGATCGAGAGGACAACGTCGACGATGACGACTCCGCCGTCGTCGTCTTGTCCGTCATCTTGCCGTTGTCCTGTTCGGCGTCTGTGCCCCCCTCGCGCCACGGGATTGGCTGCAGCATGGCGGTGGGAGTTGGGCCCGGCTGGCGGCCCAGTGGGCTCGTCGAAGGGTCCGTTCGGAGGCCGAACGACCTCGGACTCCGACTGGTGTAAGAAAGGGACACTTCAGGAGGAGTGGAGGACTGAGGAGGGCGGGAGGAAGATGAACGCGAATGTGCCAGGTGTCACAGGTTTCCATCCGATCCTTCCGGTCTTCCCCCCTCCCCTGCCCAGTCTTTCTTCCTCGATCCTCTCTGACGTTCTTCGCCTCCTCAATTCTCCGCGTCCTCCCCCTTCTCCGCTTCGTCTCCTTTCTCGTCTTCCGCGTTCTCGTCGTTATCTGGTTTCTCCCTCATCTCATCCTCCTTGCCTTACCATCCTCGGTTCTCTCGCCTTCCTCGCCCTGTCCTTCGTCCTGTTATGTATTTGTCTGCCTCTTCTTACGCGTAATCCCTCCCTTCTCGTCCGTCCCCCCTCCTTCTCCTTCTTCCCGCTCTTCCTTCTCCATCCTCCTCCCTCCTTTCTCCCTCCCTCCCTCCCCACCCTCCCTTTCCATGCCATCCGTCCTCGACCTCACGCTCATCCCTCCCCGTCTCCTTCTATCCCCGCCCCGCCGCGTGCCCCGCTTGCGCTGCGAGAGAGCGCTCCAAGGGACCCAGCGCTGCGGCGCGCGCGGGCTTCGTCCTCTTCGCACTCTCCCCCCTACTCAGCAGGCGGCGGGGCTTCTCAGCAGCCGTCCCGCCTTCTAAGAAGCTTGCTTTGCCTTCTCCAGAGCCCCAGGCGGCTTCCCAGAAGGCGGGAGGGAGGAGGAGGAGGAGGAGGAGGAGGAGGAGGAGGAGGAGGAGGAGGAGGAGGAGGAGGAGGAGGAGGAGGGCCGCTGAGACGCCCCGCCGCCTTCTGCTCTCCACCCCCGGTGCGGGCAGCCGAGCAGCGAGCCAATCGGAGGGCCAGGCAGGAAGCGCCCCGGGCCCCCTCGGAGGTCCCCTCCTCGCCCGCTGCGACTGCGGCGCGTGACGCCCTGGCCCCGCGCGGCCCGGAAGGTGCGCGAGTGTGCGTGTGTATGTGTGTGTGTGTGTGCGCTTGTGCGTGTGTATGTGCGTGTGCGTGTGCGTGTGCGTGTGCGTGCGCGTGTGCGTGTGCGTGTGTTTGTGTGCTTGTGTGTGTGCTTGTGTGTGTATGTGCTTGTGTGTGTGCTTGTGTGTGTGTGCTTGTGGTTGTGTGTGTGTTAGCTGCGGCCACGGGCCCCGCAGCTGAGGGAGGTCTTCGGCGCAAGCAGTTCCCAGACCTCCAGCGGCCTGCAGTTCATTGAGGTTCAGTGCCCCGGAAACCAGGACTTTGGAAGCCAGCATTTTGCCAGACCCAGGTGTGGAAACAGCAGAATGGTGAATATCTCGGCCCCCGATGCAGTTTCCGTGGGCGCGCCAATGTCTTGGTTTATCAAACAGTACCCGCTGACTGGATTCCGAGAGGTTCTGGCAGGTGTCGCGCCCACGACAAGGTCTCAGCTTCTCGTGCCCCATTGGCGTGCCCCAGCATCGGCTCCTTGTCGAGCTCTTCTCTGTGGGCGCCCGGATCGTCCAGAGTGGCCCTGTCTGGCCCGACGCGCGGCCACAGAATTTGCGACCACCGGCGCCCTGGAAAAGCAGCACGCCCGAGTTAGATGTCGGGCAGCTGCGCCCACACCACCGCCGATCGTCTGGGGACCACCTCGCCCCTGGGGGTCCCATGTTTTGGACACGGTGTCACCACGCAGAGGCTGCGCAGAGCTGGTTGTCGCCGAAGAATACAGTGCTGGTGCGAGTCCTACGCCCGCGGCGCGAATCCCATGCCAGCGATGGGGTCGAGGGCTGCCGCCCACCCCTTGTGCCGGGACGAGTCAGGTCTTCGGAGGTCTGGACATCCGAGCTCTGCTGCCTGAGCATTCCCAAGGCCCCCTTTGAGCCCACCCGGCGACTCGGCCCAATCGGCCGCCGAGCAGACCCCAGGAGCACGAGACCGCTCGGCGGCCGAGGGGGCTCAGCTCAGACGCCGAGCAGGCTCCGAGGGGCTCCCTGGGTCAGAGGAGTACGGCCCTCGGCTCTGGCCCCCAACAGGCGGGGCAGCGAGGAGGTCTGGGAGGCGAGAGGTGCAAGCGTAGATAGAGGTTCGAGGTTGAAGGTTCGAGGTTCGAGGATCGAGGTCGACGATCGAGGTTCGAAGATCGAGGCCAGGGTTCGAGTCTTGACGCTCCAGAACCGAGGACTCAGCTTCAGGGGGGGGGGGGGCACGGAGGGCGCAGGCGAAGCACAGGGGGGGGGGGGGGGGAGAGGTGGAGGGCGTGAGGGTACGCGTCTCCGCCCGCCCCTGCCCGAAACACTCGCTCCCGAAACCACTTGCCCCGACGGCCCAGTGAGATGGTATTCATGAGAGAGAGAGAGAGCAGGGAAGGGAGGAGAAGGAGGTAGGAAGGAAGAGGAGGAGGAGGAGGAGGAGGAGGAGGAGGAGGAGGAGGAGGAGGAGGGGGAGGGGAGGCTACGAACAACGTTCTTCTGGCCGCCAGGAGCCAGGGACCATGAGGAGGAGGAGGACCAGTGGACACCCAGTACGCATCAACGATATCGCAACAAAGCCTACCTCGAAGTTCCCTCTTAGTGAGCCCCTACACGTGTTCGTTTCCACTGAGAACGTGTCCCGGTGGAAGACAGTCGTTTGAAAATCCGGAATTGTGCCAGAACGCCGTTCTTGGGACAGCAGCGCCGCGAATCACCTCTGTTGTTGCGCCCTGACGATCCCGAGTAGTCCCGGAACGCCATTTCTGGGACCCCGACGCCGCGACTTCGGGGTGGCTGCTGCGACCTGACCTTCGCACGTCGTGCCAGTGCACCATGCCTGGGACGTGAACCACGAGAATCCCTGAGTGCGGTGCGAAGTATCAAGGCGAGCGCGCGCGGCGCAGAGGAGGAGGAGGAGGAGGAGGAGGAGGAGGAGGAGGAGGAGGAGGGGAGGGGAGGGAGGAGGAGGAGGAGGAGGAGGAGAGGAGGAGGGAGGAGGAGGAGGAGGAGGAGGAGGGGAGGAGGAGGAGGAGGAGGAGGGGAGCGAGAGAGCCACGGTTTTGCAAAAGGGAGCGCCCTCTCCGTCCGTGGAGAGCTCTCCTGCAAGCTGTGTTGCGACGAACGCTCGCGGCGCCCCGGCGAGGGCCACATCTTCAAGAAATGGGCCGCCCTCCTCCTCCTTCTCCTCCTCCTCCCCTCCCCTTCCTCCTCCTCCTCCCTCTCCTCCTCCTCTCCTTCTCCTCCTCCTCCTCCTCCTCCTCCTCCTCCTCCTCACCCTCCTCCTCCTCCCCTCGTCTTCAACACTTGCAAAAATGGGCCGCCCTCCCGCCGAGTGTGCGTGGCGCTGAAGGCGAGAGCCACACCTTGAAAACGTGCCTGGTGGGCCTGTTTTCCACCACCACCACCACACGTAGGAGGGGGAGGGGGTCCTCCTCCTCCTCTTCTTCTTCCTCCTCCTCCTCCTCCTCCACCTCCTTCCCCCCTCCAGCTTATGGTGGTGGCGGTGGAAAACAGGCCCATCAGTGCCGCCCTCCATCCGTGAAGCTCGTGCAGCTGCTCAGATCGAATGTGCGCGGCGCCGAGGCGAGAGCCACTTGTTCAGAAAGGGCCGCCCTCCCTCCGTGAAGCTTTTGCAAGTCCGTGGCTTCAGGACCATCAATCGTGAGGAAGGCTCAGGCGAAACGCCCGGCCCCCCCTCTCGACAGGCCTCGGGGTGCGACAGGGAGGAGGTATCTGTAAGAAGAGGAAATAAGGAGGAGGACGAGGAGGAAGAGGAAGATTACCAGAATGGGCAGGTCGCAGCACTACTCACTAATATGTGGGTCCTCCCTGGGCTCGTTTCGTGCCCCCCTTGGGCCTTCATCCGCTCCGGAACCCTCTTGAGGCCCGTGGGCTTTTCTCATTGCTCTCTGGGCTCTTGGATCCTTGCATGGGTCTTGTGGCCTTCTTCGGGCCCGTCGGAGTAATTGCAGGCACTGTTGGGCCCTTCTGGTGCCCAAAAAGCGAACAAACACTCGGGGTCCTTTTGTGGTCCTGGTGGGCTCCTCTTGAGGGCTTTGCTGGCCTCGTCTGAGCACTTGGGCCACATGGGGGCCATCTGAAGGCTTTTGCGGCCATGCGAGGCAGCGAGGGCGAGAATGCCAGCTACATGGAAGAATGCACTTTTGTTTTGTGGAAGCTTTAGGGGGCCACCGTTGGGTCATCTGGGGTTCGACCAGGGTCATCGTGGGCCTTCGTGGCGTGGAGGCCATCCTGTGCGATCTTAGTCGTGTTGGGCTATTTGAGGCCATCCTGGCCTGAGCGATCTTGGGCCCTATCGGCGTCATTCAGAAAATGTTGATGACCTCTGCGATCCAATTGGAGCGTTGACGGATGAGGTCGGATGTTCAGTGAGGGGTACCAGGGGCACCGAACATTTTTCTTAACATATCAATTTGATCGCGGACTTTCGATGTCTCTCGACACCGACCTCAATCTGCACGGAGGCGCCGCTGGAGACGATTGCAACCCAGACCTAGTCTAGAAGATATGCAACGCCCACAGGAGCAGCTTAGGATTTTTTTTCTGCCCGCAGGCATCTGAACTGTTTCTCATTAGTCTGCTCGTGCAGGAGCCTAATCCGATCGGAAAGTACCGTACAGTTTCCGGTCTTGGAAGACAATCTTGCCAACCTCTCGACTCTCGCACCGTCCGACCCCACGTGTCATCGCATCCTTTTATCCATCTGGTTTCTTTCTCCCTCCCCTCCCCTCCTCCTCCTCCTCCTCCTCCTCTCCTCCTCCTCCTCCTCCTCCTCCCTCCCCTTCTCCTCCTCCCTCCTTCCTCCTTCTCCCCTCCTCCCCCTCCTCCTCCTCCTCCTCCTCCTCCTCCTCCTCCTTCTCCTCCTCCTCCTCCTCCTCCTCCTCCTCCTCCTCCGCATCCTCCTGACACTGAACATTGCAACATTATTCCCGCGATGTTTTCGTTGTTTCGATGAGTTGGTTGATGGTTTTCCGACCCCACCACCCCACGTTTCGAATATTCCGAATATGTGTTCATTCGATCATCGAGATCTTGGCAATGGTCGCGAAGGGTTGATCTGAGCAACGCGTCCGTGCCCTTTGCGCGACCATCGCTCTCAGCGTGGTGGCTGAGGGCGCACGCTGGGTGGTCGATTACGGGACATGCGAAGGCATGCGCAAGTGCGCCGTTGACCCCCTAGTGCTCACGAGCGGCGAACGGATTGGATCATCCACGCCCTTGCAGTGTGGATTCTGGGGCGCGATCCCGCGGATGTGCGGCCGCATAGATGCGTCGCGCGTGGTGAATGAATGCATTTGGGGGTGCACGTGCGTCGAATTCGAGAATGGCATGGCCACTGGGCCAGGGCTGACTCGCTGGAAGAGCATCAGTCGGGCAGTCGAGCAAGTGTGCACGACTGTGAACGTCCAGATGAATGGACCTGTGCCCTGGGGCCGCTTCGGGCACAGCGGCCCAGTAGGCGCCAGCCTGGATGTCCACAGAATCCGGACGCACGACTGCGCAGGTGGTATCGGGGATGTATGCGCTCAGTGGGGCGGATGTTTCCCGTTCCCCTGGACCGGGTCCTTCCGAGGCACGCCAGCTATCCGATCATTGGCGCGGAGGCTTGGGAATGAAGGTGCGAGCGTATACGTGCACACGTTTACCTTATTGCTCCCGTCATTTGTCACTGGCCATCCTTCTGTAGCCTCTTTGGGCTTCCCCCCGCTACTGGCCCTGTAGGCTGGCCTTGCTCCAGCGGGGCGAGGCGGTACTCAGCCCGTTGCCGTCAGCTAGTGCCCCGCCTGGTCCCTTCAGGTGGGGGCTATCTGGCCATGCACTCGGTGAGGCACGTGGCGTGGCGTGCGCCCCCCGTTCCAGTGAAATCTGCCCGTGCCCGAGGGGCAAGGTGTCGGGCGCTATCTGAGGAGAGAGTGATACATCTAGTTATCCCCCCCCCTTCCCGCTCTCTCGTTCTCCTTGCCAGCAGTTGTCCGTCTACTCTCTCCCATCTACACTTCGCGATACAATTCATACAATATCCTGCTATACCAATCTCCATGCCATCTCCCTCTCACATGCAGCTCCCCCCATGCACTTCATACCCACCGTCGGCCAACACCTGTTTCTGCCTCGGAGTTGTTGTTTTGTCTGTCCCTTTTTCTTCCACATCTCGTTCGTGCTTCTACCTTCCGAGGTTTGTTCACTCTCCTCTTCCTCTTGTCCGCTTCCCGCCACCTCCGCTTGTTCACGTGCATCCGTTACTCATATGCACCCCTTTTTCAGAGCATGAGCGTCGGTGCTCAAGTTCTGAGAGCGCGAAGGTGCGCAGCTTTCCGTTCATTGATGCGGCATAGGGTACCCGCACGGATCGACTGGCAAAGGGGTTTGTCAGAAAGATGCGCGCCTTCTCTGCGCGCGCAGTATTGCTAACACAACCTGGCACGTTCCCATCGCTACCGCAGCACCCAATGTAGCCATTCGACGAGTTGCCCGCGCGTTCATGCGTGTGCTCGCGCTTGGCACGGCATGGGGCCTTCCCCCACGCATCTGCGCGTTAGGGTGGCAGGATCTGCATTTCTTCGATCCTCAACGGCTCGCTGTCGAACACTATGGGCACCGCTTCTGTGCCAAAACACCACCAGTCAGATACCAGATGTAGTCAGGCATCTTGTAATTAAGGTGCCAGTGCTGCGGTTGGACGTTTCAATGCAGTTGAATGCTCTGTCGCACTGTAGTGTGGCAGGCTTTTTGACTTCGGACCGTTTGGATTGGCGAGGCGGAGTAATGTTTGTAGCCGTACATGTCCTTTCTCTCAGGTCCAGGTCGTGCGGCCAATCAGATGTATAACCAGTTTCGCAAATTAGCAGGGGACGCCAAAACTTTCATCGGCTCTTCCTTGTGGCTGGCAGCGCGGCGTTGCCTCCCGGTCCAGCTCATGACACGGAGATGCGTTGGGCCATGCAGCTACGGGGACGATCGGTGAATCGGTGAATGGTTGTTGCGTTGCACGCCTACGGCTTGGAAGCGCAGCGCTGTTGTCGGAGGATCAGCCGCAACACCACCAGTGGGCCACCTCAAGCAATGAGGCCCACGATGCCTCATCCTCGAGCGGGACACCGCAAAAGAGGGGACCATAGAAGGACCCTCCCTGGCTCCTTGCAATGGTGGTGGTGGCGTTGCTTTGCTGCACGATCGTGTATTTGCGCATGCTTGTTCATCAAGTTTCTGGAAGCTTCCCGGGGTATCTTGAGGGCGTCTAGAAGACGGGTTCATCCGGGAGGCGTTGAGTGCATCCTAGATGCTTGCTGTGCCAGGTCTCTGTCAGCTCTGTGGCTGCCTCGGCGGGTAGGAGGGTTGGGAGACCTTGGGCCTTCGTGGCCAGTCTCGGGCCGTCTTGAGGCCATCTCGGGACGAAGGCGTCTGGGGCTCTCCAGTGGGCCTCGGGGCTCCTTGGGACGCATGTTGTTACAGCTACCAAGATGTTTCGGGCGTGCTCAGGGGAGTCTTTAAAAGACCTGGCGAGGCCGGATGAGGCAGATCCGCAAGGCATAACGTGTTAAGGGCATGTGCATTGGTATCGCCTCCTTCGGTCTTCCAGGGCACCGCTGGAAGATTCATGTGCGGGAGATCTGTTGGGTTCCTGCTGGGCCCCATTCGGCGCTTGTTGGGAGTCGTCCGATTGTCCTGGGAGTATTGGAATCGTCTAGCGAGTACTGGCACCGTGTTAGCTGGTCTTGAGGCCGTCTGGCGGTGTCTCTGAGGCGCACTGGGTTGGTCCTTGACAGGCTCACCTACACACAGAAGCCATACGCCAGCCCTAGGCACGGCGCTTGGGCACAACTGCCTCCACAGAGCCAGGTTTCTCGCCTAGGGCGTGGCAAGTGAAAGTGTTGGGAGTTTCGTGTGGGGTTGGTGGGACGTTTTGGTGGGGAGGTGCCACGCGGCGTACTCAACGCAAGCGCGGTGCATCGCAATGGCGTAAAGGGCTACATACGACGGCCTCGCGCCTTGTGTGAGTGGGTGGGCGCTTTGAGCCATGTTCCTGTTGGTGGCATGTACTGCCTGTGCTTATATTCACGTGCATACAACTATTATGTGTATACATGGCGCAACTACATCGAACACGTACACACGTGAGTGTATGCACACAGGTATCGGCACCGTGTACAACCGTCTCTGCATGTGGTGAAGCAGACGGCACAGGCGCAATGCGCTCTAAACGTTGCAAGTTGCGTTGCTGGCTTTCGTTCGAGGTCTTCGCAGGAGGCGCGCGCTGATGCAACAGCTCCGTCCTTCTGGCCTCTCCTTGTTACTGACAGTCCTGCCAGGCTGCCCGATCATGACCAGCGCGACCCCTTCAAAGAGAGAGAGACTTGGGGGCGCCCCTAGGGACGCCTCGCGCAGTCCTCGAGCCATGTCAAGCCCAACAAGGCTCAGCGCTCAGCGGATGCTCTTAATACGGGTTCTATTCCTCCTCCGCCTATCTGGCCATGCGGCGGAACGCTCAGCATCTTGGACTCTGAACCCAGCGATTGTAGTTCAAGTTTCTCTGGCAGCTGATCAGGCGTCGGCCAGAACGACCAGTCTCTGAGCCCAAAGGCCAGCCGAGTGTGCCATCCCATGGCCAGCCGGTGCCGCCATGGTTTTTGGTGCCCCTTCGCGGGAAATGTGTGCTGGAGGAGGGGGAGGAGGCGGAGGAGGAGGAGGAGGAGGAGGAGGAGGAGGGGGAGGAGGAGGAGGAGGAGGAGGAGGAGGAGGAGGAGGAGAGGATGAGGAGGAGGAGGAGGAGGAGGAGGCGGAGGAGGAGGAGGAGGGTGGGGAGGGTGGTGGTGGTCACTGCATGAGGGAAGCAGGAGTCCCGAGCGTAGCGCCGCGCACCGTGCAGGCCGCGCCGCGCACCGAAGCGTAATCGTGCGGACCCGCGCCCCGCGAACGTGAGCGCCGGCGGATGCCCTCGCGGCGGGTCCTGCGCACGCCCCGCCAAGCGTGGGAACGGCGAGTACAGGGCGCCGAGGATCTCGCCGTGAAGTCTGGTGGCGCCCCCAGACACCGATTGCACGGTTGGGAACAGTGAAGGCACTCGTTCTAAAAAACAGGGAAGAGAGAGAGAGAGAGAGAGAGATGAAACCAAACAAACAAACAAAAAACAGAGGAAGAGGGAATGGAGCTCAAGGGGAGGGGGAGGAGGAGGATGTGGAGAATAGGAAGGAGGAAGGGGGAGGAAGAGAAGAAGGGGGTTGACGAGCATGGGGCGGGAGGGGTCACTCTGGTGAGCAAGGTTTCTCGTGGTCCCCGATCAAGAAACTACCCCGATCCATTTGGTTGACGAATTGACCGGGTTGGGTCGGTCAGGGAGTTTTCCACTGTGTACGTGAAGTGCCGGGGAGGATGACAGCGTTACGGTGTCATGGGGAGCTTATGCGGTCGGCTGAGCACACCGGCGGAGACGACAGAGAGCTGGTGTTGGGTCGTAATCGGTATTGTCGCATATATCGACCTCGCAGCCCCGACGCCCACCTTGCTTACATGGAAACGCTAGCCAGGCGATGCTAGGTGACCCAGCAGCATGCTCGTATTTCCACGTCTATGTGACCCGTTGCCGCGCACAAGGCGTTTTGGCTCAAAAGCTGTTGCCCGCCAATGGTCGATTGGTTGGTTTCTTCGCTGCGCGCGCGGTGCACCATATTTCTTTAAGAAGCCAGGCACCCGCAGTTGCATTACAGGCGTCCTGATTTTGTTATCAGTTGTGGCACTCTTAGCGGCTCCTTTACCTTTTCCGTTCGCACACACACACATGGTGAGGTAATGTGTGTTATTGCCATGCCATGTTTCAGTTGCCCGATGTTTGTATCAAACTGTCTGAATCAAACGTTCCAGCGCAGCATCGCAACCGGCATCAGGGTAAATACTCCGTCTCGTTTAGCTATCTGGTTGAATTGGCGTGGGCTTTGAACACGCCCTCCTTGCCCGCAGCCTCGTTCTCCGCTTCCTCGTGTTGCCCTTTCGGCGTCCTACCCCAACGACCTCCCGCTTGAAGACATGTTTGAAGATTCTGGGGGGCTTCATCGGCGCCTCTTTGGGCCTGTTCAGGCCCTCTCGGGTTTTTCTCGGCAGAGTCTTGGGGACTGGTTGCAGGCGTGTCGCGGGCCTTCGGGTCTTCTTGGGTGCGATAGTTCAATAGAGATCTCCCGAACAGCATCGAATGTATTACCACACATGGTAATGATCGCGCGTGTGCTCGCAAAGCTCTGCTTCATCCTCACGACTTCCCCGTTGTTGTCTTGATATCAAGAAAGGTTTTTAGGTGACGAGATCGGGTCAACGAGCGTTCTTTGCATATTTGGGGTTGATCTGCGAGCATCGGCGATGCGATATGGCAGATGAGGTAGTTGGGGCGACGAGTACGCCGTTTTCTATTGCATGCCATTCGCATCTGACGGCTGTGCACAAATACATCTACGGTGCATACAGCGGATGCTGCCATGCGGCTGGAAACGTCTCCTTGTCCACCGCTGTCTGCCCATTGCCGATAAGATCGTGTTGCCCTTATCAATTTGACGTGCTGCTCTTCTTGCCTGTAAGGAGCATGAAGCGTCACGCCGGCCAAAGCGACAGTGTTGCTGCCGCTATGGAGGCAGGGCGTGTCAGGAGGGCCGTTTTGCACGCCACGCTTTCAAGTCCTATCGTTTGCAGATGGAAGCTCTATGCCAAACTCCAGCGTTGAAGGTCGAACCCCACTGCATGCCGGGAATGGTTGACTCGCCAGCCTCCTTGCAACATTATCGCCCTTGAGGCTCCCCATCGGTGTTCGTCGTCGGCAGTTGGCTCCTCTTTCATGCGTGTGTCGTGCGCCGGCAGTGACCGTCGACAGAAGCTTGTGGCCTGATGTTCATTACCCGAAGGGCTGCCTTCGTGGACTCACGCAGGTATGACCCAGGGGAGGGACATACGGAAGTGGGGCCCCCAACCGGCCTGTGGCGCCATCTCTGAGGAATCCGAGGGTCCCAGGCCCCCGTTCCAAGCTGGTATTCTCGCTTGGGGGGATTTCTTGCGAACGCAGATTTCCTGCAGTGAACAACATTCTGGGGCGAGCTGGGAGTCCTTGGGGTGCGTACGGGCGCGACCTGGCGGGGCCGTTGCTGGGTCTCAAGGCGCAGTGGATTGAAGAGCACGGCCGTCAGTAAAGATGCAGGTCAGATCTGCGGGCGCGCACACACGGAGGAGGGAAGCCGATAGAGGAGGTCGAGAGGAGGCGTAGGAGGAGAGGTTGGAGGAAAAGGATGGGTGAGGGACAGATTGGTGATGGCAGTGATGATGTTGTTGGGTCGTGGAGAGTCAGGGGAAGCAGTGGCATGATACTTTGAGCGCGTTTAGTCATTTTCGGCGATAATGGGCATTATAGAGGGGGAGGGAGGGGGTGGGGGGCGAGGGGGGTGAGGGGGGGTTATCATGTAACGCCTCCCCCCGCCGTGTGGCTCTGGCACCACAACCGCGCCCGCGCGCACGACGACGATGAACGACGAGCGACGAGCGATGAGCAACGACGACGACGACGCGAGCAGCATGATGTAGGTGGCGACCTGCCTCACAGCGCCTGTGTACACCACAATGCTCGCGTGCACAACAGCCCGCGTGTACGCCACAGCGCCTGCGTACACCGCAACAGCCGTGTGCGAAGCAGCGCCTGTGTACACCACCGTGCTTGCGTGCACCACAGTGCTTGCGTGCACCACAGCATCTGCGTGCACGCATCGCTGGTGTACACCACAGTGCTTGCATGCACGGGACAGGTAGAACGAGCGCCAGGAAAGTTCTGCTAATAGAATGCGATGTTCGTCTATTCTCCCTCCTCCTCCTCCTCGTCCTCCTCCTCCTCGACTCGTCTTCCTCCTATTCGGATTCCTATGCGGACGCCGATGCGGATCCCGATGCGCTCGGTGGCAGTGCCCAGAGCGCACTGGGGGGGAGGGGCATTACGTTAGGGGGGGCGGGGGGGGGGACGGCGGGGGCTATAATGCCATCGTGCCCCATGCAGTGAGGCGGTGTGCCTCTCCCTGCGGTTGGCCTCCATATTTCCGTCTCGGACTTTCTACTTGCAATCGTGTATGGTATCCCGCGTCCCCCGTTCGTCGATGGCCTTCACGAGCTTCAAAATATGATTCCAGAGCCGCTAATTCGCAGGACTGCCCTTTGGAGCGACCACCTGCGTATTTTCATTTCTACACTGTTCCCCAAACATTGTTTTGCATTCAGGGTTTCTCCCTAGCGTCCTTCAGGAGGGAAAGAATCACACTGACACAATTAATCGTCGATTCCCAGAACATATGGGGAAATATAGGAAGTGGGGGAAGACCGAAACCCAACAAATATACAAACATATGGGGAATTCTTTCATGTGTGTGTATTTATTTGCGGGTCCCTGGGCCCCTTGAGTCCGAGGTCATTGGCTGGCGTCTTTCCGGGCCTGCTCCTCATGGACGCCCGCAGCCCCTCTGCGGCTGCCCCGTGCGCTCGCCTGGGCCTCTGGGTTTGTTCATTCGACGGGTGCCCGAAGCTGCCCCTCACGCTGGCTGGCGTTTCCAGGCTTCCTCGGAAACTGGAGTGCTGCTGTTCTACCGCTGGAGTTTTTGAGGAACAGGGGCGACGTCGCGTGGTGTGGTGTATGGTTATTTCCCCGTTTTCCTCGGGAGATGACGACAATGTAATCACCAGCATCCCGTATAACACCAGGATCCGCTTTCCTGTGCGAGTTTCAGTGCAGGGCTGGAAAAAGCGTCGGTGTATAGAGTTCGGTTTCCTACTTTCGGCCTCCCGCGTTGGCCCGCGTTTGAGGCCGCACTCCTGGCTTGCGACGTGGGTTTTCTTTTTTCACAGAATGTCAGTCTCGACCCCCTTGCCGATGGTGGACGTAACCGACACCTGTCCATGCATTCGCTTTCCATTGTATGTCCGGCGAGGGAGACCAGCAATCTGTTTCGCTTTGTGTCGCGCGTGCTGGTGAAGCGGAGCGGGCAATCGGTTTCGGATTATTTTCGTAGCGAAGGCAATTCGATTGCACCCCGCCCCAACCACCCGCCCAGCCCACCGATACCATGGTTATCCGTACGATGTTGGGTGTGATGGTGCTGAATGTGTTGCTGCAATTCCATGTGTAGGTCTGTATGTGTATGTGTATATATATATATATATATGAGTACGGTAGGTCCGTGTCGTGTCGACCGGCGGCGACCCCGCCAGCGGCGTTCAAGGTTGAACGCCGCGGGCGACCCAGAATCGATCGACGTTGAACGATTGGACGTTGCGGCAGCGGCCGATCGTTCAAGGTTGAATGATCCCTGCGGTGTCAAAAACCAACGCTGGGGTCGGCACGACACGAACCTGCCGTAAGGGGGTCCCGGGGCCCCCGAAGTGCACTGATTTGTCTTCCCGCCGTTTCGGGCCCGGCGAGGGGCGCCAGAGAACGGCAAAGGGGGCCGAGAGACGTCCAAAAGGGCGCCAATGGCCCAAGAGCGCTCCAAGAACGTGGGAGGAGGAGGAGGAGGAGGAGGAGGAGGAGGGGGAGGAGGAGGAGGAGGAGGACTGGGGCATCCAGGACTGGGGCGGTTTCAGACTGGGGCATCCAGGAGGAGGAGGAGGACTGGGGCATCCAGGAGGAGGAGGACTGGGGCATCCAGGAAGAGAGCCCAGCACAAGAACGTTTCAAAATTGGTCCAACGTGGCTAGAGAACAGCCCAAGAGGGTTTCAGGACGGCCAGGATGCCTTCAAAAGACTCCCACGAGGCGCTCAGGAGGCCAAACATGTATGTTTTCGTTCGATGGTTTTGAGGGTTGTTCGTGTTCTCGCGCCACGACGGCGCAAGAGAGCCCCAAGACGGCCCAAGAGTGCCGCAAGACGGCCCAAGAGAGGCCCAAGATCGCCCAAGAGGGCCCCACGACGGTCCCAAGAGGGGCCCAAGAGGGGGAACACGAACCAACGATTCAAGCCTTCCGCTTCATGAGGCCTCCAGGAGGCTCCAAGAGGCCCCTAACAGAGCCCAAGAGGCCCCCCAGAGGCCTCCTAGAGGCCCCACGAGGCTCCAAAGGGGCCCAGAATGTCGCCCCACGAGCACCTGCAAACCGCCTCCGAGAGGTCTCCCAAACTGCCTTCCCCACGAATTCCAAGCGAACTTCCAAGAGGCCTCTAACCCACAACCCAACCCGAAGGCCACGATCGGGAACATGAACCAAGAACCCGAGGTCTTCGCACCAGGAGACCCGCAGGAGGGGACAAGAGGTTCCCAAGAAGCTTGGCGACATATCACCCACCGGTCGACCAGTCGATGAGGGCGGAGGAGGAGGAATGAGGAAATGGCAGGAGGAAACAGAGAATGTTGACTTCATTATTCGTGACCGCCTGGTTGCCTCAACGCGGTCAACACCCGACCAGCTAGAACCTAAGCGCGCGCGATGGTTCTAGCATGTATAGATACACCTGGATATGTGTGTATGTGTACACGGACCTACATATATACATCGATATACACATATACACACTTGGTGCATAGGTATATGTCTTTGTATGTATATACTCTTGTATATGTAGATATTGATATCTATACATAGACACATACACATATGGAGTCAGTAGACCCAGATTCCCCCCCATACCTTTTGGACCGTAATCCCCAGCCCCGGAGCATCTGTCGGAAGAGCTCCCAGACAGCCGACAACGCCCCCCCCACACCGGCCCAAGAGGCCCACAAGCTGGCCCAAGAGGTCCTAAAGGCGCCCTAAAATATTTCCCAAACTGCCAAGGAGCACTCCAAGAGGGCCCAAGACGGCTTCCAGACGCCCGCAGGAGCCCTCAAGACGTCCCAAGGGGCCCTCCAGAGGATCCCCTAGAAGCACAAACCGTTCAATCCCACATGCCCTTTAGAGCGTAGGTGGTCTAGTGAGCCCCTTCTTCCCATTGGGGGAGGGGTTTATCATTGTTCCCTATTAATAAACACCCCCTCCCCCAGGCGACTGGGAGCCAACCAGGGACAATGGGCCCCCCCCACCCAGCCCTTGTAAAAAACATGCAAAACACACTCTGCTTCCAAATTCGGAGCATGCGCAGCCAACCCGATGTGGCCTGACCCCACCATCCCTGTAGCAAAAACAATACAGAGTACACTTGGCGGCGGCGGCGGCAGCGGCGGCGGCTGCGGCGGCTGCGGCGGCTGCGGCGGCTGCGGCGGCTGCGGCGGCGGCGGCGGGCGGCGCGGCGGCGACGCGGCGGCGGGCGGCGCGGCGACGGCGACGGCGGCGGCGGCGGCGCGGAAGCGGCGGCGGCGGGTAGCGGCGGCGGCGGCGGCGGCGGCGGCGGCGGCGGCGGAGGCGGCGGCGGCGGCGGCGGATTGTCCCCCGGTAGCTGCCCAGCCGAAGACGACTGCTGAATATGCTGAGGCTCGGGCCAGACTCGGGTGCTACGTATGTGTTGGGAGGGCGGGTCGGAGTGAGCGAGACGGCTTGCGGGCGGGGAGGAGTCTTGACCCCTCCCCCTTACCCCCTCCCCTAGACCTGGACGCGGGGTTCCTCGGGTGATTGGAGCGTCCAAAACGGCGCCCTGGCGAGGAAGCCACAATCATTGATGTTACAAAGGTTTTGGCCCCATGTTGACCTCCTGT